CAAATGAGTGAAGCTATTGCTTCTACATCAACAACTATCTAACTTCACCTGCTCTTAAAACCTATACTCATACATACCCCAAATGCTGGATCATGATTAACTATAAATCTATTAACAACCATCACTAACTTCAAGAAGGTAGCTTCTTCTTTAACAACAATGCATATTACTTAGAATATCTTCAACAAATAAACAAGGAAAAAAAAGAACAAGCGAAAGCTAAAAAACAACAACTACATCAAGAACAACTCCGGAAGCAACAACAACAACAATCTAAGCTACACAAACAACAACAAACTATAGAAATAGAAACAGATAAACATACAGATAATCAATCTACAACTGATTTATTTAAAAGTATCCAATACATTTCATCAGACACATACAAACAACTACAAGAAGAAGAATCTAAAATACAGAAAGAATTTAACAAACGAAGACAACAAGAAGGAAAAAAAACAAGTGCCAAGTCCTCTGTGGGATTAGATTGGCTTACCTAATTCCCTATCAATGAGGAAATAGAACAACAAACAAAACTCAATCAACTATCTAAACAAATTTTCCTTTTCATTAAAAAACATCTATATAACTTTTATCCAGGAATAGTGTTTCTACAAACTGGACTCGAACCCACTTTAGTTAAGTTTGAGTCTGGTCTGATTTTCAGACCAGACTTAGACTTTATATTCAAATTTTTTAGTCAAGTCTGAGTCTGCTCTGGGTCTAGTCCAAAGTCTGCAGACTAGTCTGAGTTCGAATACTCAGGTCATAGCTATTGTTACTCAGATAGCTTGTATAACTTCAGTTTTCGATAATTATTGAATGTTTTACATTAATCTTTTTTAACAATCCCATTTTGATTCAATTTGGCAAGATCACTCATCTTATTCATCTTTGCAAGCGTAGGTGTTTTATTTTTATCCTTTACAGTACCATCATACTCAATATCATTTTTCACAGCCATCATTTGATCGATATTAGCCTTTAACTTATCTAACTGACAGTTGTTTATTTCAAAAACCTTTTTCTCTTCAACATCAGGTACGTTATGGTATCCTTCATTAAATTCACATTTGGAGTCTTCATTATCACTAAAATATATGTTATATTATAGACTACACCATATTTATATTCAATTTTGTCATTCTTTATTTTATTCTTTTCAACTCCAATTTTCTGATAATGATAACTAGCATTAAGTGTTTCTTCAGTAAGTTTCATCCTGGGGTTTCTTTGATAGTTAATAAATGTGTTATGTTTGTTCTTTTCTACTCCAATTCTATCACAATAATAACTAATATTATACATTTCATCAGTACCACCCAAATTTCCGGGCTTTGATAAGCAGTTATTTTATAATCATTTCTTTCAGTTCCGATTCCATGTTGAGGACAATATCTGGAAGTATAAGTTCCATTATTATCAACTTTGATTCCATCTTTATTGCTATATCTGAGATCGAAAGCTTTATGACTAACATAATTAGATGCTCGATGTTTATTCTTTTTATCTCCAATTCCATTTTCATAGCAAAGTCTAAGGCTACTTTGTCTATCAGAATATTCATATTTAGCAATTTTCTCACAATATTCGAATGCCTTATAATTTTCCTTTTCAGCTCTATTTTTGGTTTGATTGTAGTGACCAACCGATTTTTGAGACAGGATAAAATTGCCACCCAAAAAAGTTTCGAAAATCATGTGATATTGTTAATTAGTCATGATTAGAATCATGATATTAATATTTTTGATTCTTCAAAATGAAAAGCGATCGTTGCAACTTTGACAAACCAAGTGATTCTTTTAAAGGTTTAAAATTTAATAAGCATAATATTCAAAAAATATACACCAATTGTTGTAACCAAATTTCTACTAATAGTAAATGAAAAAAAAGAATAAAATCGAAATAAAACTAATCAAAAAATGCAATTGCACCAGAAAACCTTATATATTTAATTTTTAATGCTCTTCCGGAAGACTATAACACTGATTATTATCAGAACAAAAAGTTTTATAATTCTGAATTTAGAACACAACAAAAAAGATTGTTGAAGAAAACATAATGAATCCAAATGGAAACAAATGCCTCGATAGTATTAATAAAAACTTTGATTTTAAAGCTAATAGAATATTTCAAATACTTAAACCATAATTATAATACAGTCAACTCTGGGTATAATGAACCTTTCTATAACAAACTTGAACTCAAAATTTTGAAATTTCATAATAGTTCAGTATAAAAAATGGCATGAATTCTTAAGAAACCAATTTTATATAACGAGCTTTTTTTTTCCAAAATCTTTAGTTTGTTATAAAAAGGGTTGAATGTACTTTCTGGCTATAACAAATATTATGTTTATTGGAGTTTATTCGAAATAAACAAATTGCTTATCGTTATTATTTTGTTAGTCTATAAATTTTTTCGATTGTGTTTTTTGTTTAAGTTATATAAATTTTTGGTGCTCGATATATTTGTTACGTGATGTTTAAAACTTTTTTGAGTAGCAATTTTATCTCAGTCATTTTTGATGATATTTGAATGTCTTCTTTTTATACGAGCCCTCAGGTATGATTCTGATTTTCATTTCATTCTTTTGATTCAATTCATCAAAGTTCACATTTATAATACCACTTTTAACAGTTTTATCAATACAATCGAATTTGCGTCTGTAATCTTCCAGATCTTCATCATCCACTATTTGAATGTCAGGTACGTGTTCTTTGTCAGGTCTATTTCTATTGACATTTTTTTTATTCACTTTTCTAGCAATTCTATTCTTTTTTCTTTTGTTATTATTCATTGTTAATTTACTTTTAACACACTTGATATCTATGAATTGGTTTCTTCTAGAAGCACAAATATTGCCCTTTTAAGGCCAGACCAAATCATATAGCAACATTTTTCATTTTTTTATACGATATTACAGTGTATCTCTGAAAAGTTAGAGATTTCTACTTCATATTATATAAAGACATTTGAGTAGCAAAAGGTAGCAATTTAAATCTAAATAGCATACAGAGCATAGTGGTCATTTAATGTTTAGTTCTTATCAGAGCGCCAGATTACCCAGGTGATGTTTTTTTTGATGGGTCCAAGCACTAAGTCTGAAGTTTGCAAACAGTCTGGTCTGGTCTAGTAGGTTTTTTTTGTAGCTTAGCTCATATGATAAGCTAAGCTACAAAAAACCTACCAGACTGGACTAGACTATTTGCAAACTTCGAACTGAACTTCAAATCAGATAAATATATTTAGACTCGAACTAGTCTGCAAACTTCGAACCAGACCCAGACCAGACTCATAATTAAGTTTGAGTTTGGTCTGAAGTTCGAAACTCATAAAATTTAGAGTTTGAGTCTGGTTCGATTCTGAACCAGATCTGGACCAGACTGAACCTGGACCAGACATAGAAGTACTACCCAGAAAAAGAAATTAAGCCTGCTTCAAAAACCAAACCTCCACTTAAAGCATTATTTCAATATATCATCTATACTATAGTAGCTAAAAAACCACAATTTCTTACAGATATTATCTACAAAGCCAATCCAGATGTCAATCCGAAAGCACCTATCCTCTTTAAATATCTTGAAACCACATTCTGAAGTTTGTTACTTAAATTTATAACTATTCTATTTACCAAACTAAACTATGTCAAAATCTTTGAGTCATCTCTTACCTTCCCTCCATATACTTAAAAATAAAGATTCTAAGTTTGTCTTAATATCGCACATCTGTACTTATATTTTACTGAGCAGTACCAAACTATCAACCATATCAAGCTAGCAGAAGATCTCAACTTTACACCCAAAAAAATTCATATTACAACTGAGATCAAATCTATTGATCTAGAAGAACCTTATCTTACAATAAAATCTAAGTCTAGATACAATATACTGGTATCATTTAATTTACCAAAGACTCTTTTTCTTAAACAATATTATATCCCATCGCTTTTCAACTCCAGAAAAAATCTAAACAAATAGTTTGACAAACAGTACCCTATCTACTGTAAACAATTTACTAACTCTTTAGATAAAAAAAAGACACTTCTTAATATACAAACCTATATATGCAGACAATTTATATCATATCTAACCAACCTTATCCCTTCCAACTTTAACTTCCCTGAACCTTTTGATGCAAGAGACAGAAAATTCTATACTACTAAATTCACTAACTTTCATACTCTTCAGTACAAAGACAAAAAATATGAATATTGCAATCCTAACAACTTCAACTTATACAATAAAGATCGCTTGCTTATATACTTAAAAACTTTTATGAAACCTTTTTCAAATCACCATCTGAAGAAGAACCAGCATGGGTCAAACCAATAATTGATGCTACAATCTTTAACATTAAGGCTCCATATGAAGCTTCCTTTAAAGTACAAATACCTATTTCTACCCTTGACAAGCTTGCAACCAAAGCTAAAGAAACAGCCTGTGAACTAAATCAAGTAACATTTAGTAAAAAATAGCATGATGCTTACTTCTACAATACCTTATACTATACCACTCAACTGCAGCTTGTAATCACCAAATAAATGACAAAACCAAAGAAGAGGCAATGATACTAGTAACTAGTAATCCTGTTGAATTTGATTTTCTTGCCCAAATTATTACCTACTTTGATCTTATCAAAGATTCACAAGAAGATAACCCTATCTATATTATCTATTACTAAATACTATTCTGAAACTGCACTCCTCCAAGCCAAAGAATTTCTTAAACAAAAGTTTAAAATAAATTTTCTACCTATCAACTTCGATGATGAACTTTTCTTTACTCTATCTGTGCCTCCTTAGCAAGACTCTCTCTCTTAGCAAGAGAACTCCTCACAACAAGAACCTTCTTTTTAGCAGGAGGGTTCAGAATAATAGATTCTGAACTCTGCTACAACAAATCTCTACTCCACTATAAGCTCCCACCAGTTCCAACTCCACAAACACTTGGTTCTTTTTTACAATTACTTAAACAATTACAGTTCAATAACAATATAATCATTTCGGTTAATAATACTAACTCAGAAACATATATTTACCTTCCAAATAACAACAACTCTCTACCTAACCATTGAATAATTAAACAATTTAGCTTTATCAAATATCAAGACTTATCTCTTAAATCATCTTCCTTCTCAACAAATAATAATGATAACTACTTAATAAATGACAATTCATTCTTAACTTTGCTATACACACCAGAGTCTGCTCTACTACCTATAGCTATAACCAATATCCTATTATTACCTACCCTAATTAATCTTTCTAACATCAACCTCTCTCCAATGTACATACTACCTTATCGAAGGCAGATGTATATCAAACACACACTCTTTTTATCTTGCTCAACTCAAATCAATTTATTAACAACTATAAGTTTAACCAAGCACTTAATTTATCTATATGTACACATAATATACAAGGATATAAAGTTGACCTTAAGCAACAAGTCTAAGAAGATTTTTGTTTCTCTCACTATTTAAATATCATCAGTATTACTGAAACTAAAATAGCTAATATCAACCTATAACTAAATTACAAAAATCTAAGCACTTTATATACTACTGGTCTTGTACTAGTAGCTCTAAAGCTAATACAGCTATTATGATCAACAATTGGATCAAACCTCATGTCCATAAAATTCTTACTATCCCAGGATATACAATTGCAATGGATATCTTCTTTAAATATGACTTTAAGTTTAGAATTATCTCGGTATACCTACCCTGTAATGATCTTCAGTTAAGGTTACAAATACAGGATACTATCATACAATAGATTTAACAAGCCACCTTAGCCAATCTACAGACTATTGTTCTGGGAGACTTTAACACCTCTGAAGACAATTCTTGCTCTCTCTTAATCAAATACAAACTGCTTCAATATCTTCAATGCAACAATATATACAATTTGGCTACTCATACCCAGTCATCAACTAGTATATGGCAAAGTAGCAGATCTCA